CTTACCCCAAGAGAGGCCTGAGGGCAGGAGAGCAGGCCAGGAGAGTTAGCCGGTGGTGGGGGTCCAGGGAAGTAGGGAGATGTGAGGGCGGGACCAGGTGCCGAAGCAGTGCTCCTGGAGCCCAAGGAAGGCACCAAGCTGGCCTGGGCGGAAAGGATCAGGAAGCAGCACCGGTTCCCCAGGTGTCTGGGGACCCAAGACCAGGAATGGCGCAGGGCCCAAACCCAGAGCAGAGGACAGCAGGGGAGATGGAAGGGTGAATGAGGCCGGGGGAGTCAAGGCACGGAGGGCTCTGTGATAGACCCACCCCAAGAGGCCTGAGGATAGGAGAGCAGGTCAGGAGAGTTAGCCCTCTTTCTGATTTTTTGATGTAGACACTTAGACCTATAAACTTCCCTCTAAGGACCACTTTCAGTGTGTTCCAGAGGTTTTGTTGTGTTATAGTGTCATTTTCGTTTAGTTCCAGGAATGCTTTTATTTTTTTCTTAATTTCTCCTTTGACCCATTCATCATTCAGGAGTGTGTTGTTTAAACTACATGTGTTCATGTAGTGACTAGGGCTTCTTCCGGTGTTGATTTTAAGCTTTTTTGCATTGTGGTCTGATAGAATGGATGGAATTATTTCTATCTTTTTGTATTTGTTGAGGTTTGTTTTGTGCCCCAGGATATGGTGGATTTGGGAGAAGGTTCCATGGGGTGCTGAGTAGAAAAATATATCCTTCGGTGCTTGGGTAAAATATTCGGTTGATGTCTTTTAGTTCCATTTGATATATGATATTGTTTAATTCAGATGTCTCTTTGTTAACTCTCTGCCCTGTTGACCTAGCTAATGCAGACAGTGGAGTATTGAAGTCCCCTACTATTAATGACTTAGGATTAATCTGGTTCTTAAAGTCCTGTGGTATTGTTTTTATGAAGTTGGGTGTATCAGAGTTTGGTCAATCTATGTTCATGATTGTAATATCTTCTTGGTTTATTGTTCATTTGATCAGAATGAAGTGGCCCTCTTTATCTCTTCTGATTAGTTTTAGTTTAAAGCCTATTTTGTCAGATATTAGACTTGCAACACATGCTTGTTTTCTTAGTACTTGGTATATTTTTTTTCCATCCTTTCACCTTAAAATAGTGCCTGTCCTTGAAAGTGAGATGAGTTTCTTGCAGACAACAAAAAGATGGGTTATGTTTCTTAATCCATTCACCTAGTCTGTGTCTTTTGACTGGGGAGTTCAGTCTATTAATATTTAAAGTTATTAATGAAATATGTGTATTGAGTCCTGTCATTTTATTTCTGTTTACATTCTTGATATAACTGTACTTTTCCACAGTTATACCTTCATTGGATTTCTTTCCACAACCCCTTGAAAGGTATAGTCATTCCTTTCTTCAGCTCTTTGTATTGCTTCCAGAGCTCTCTGAAAGGCTGGCTTTGTGGACATGAATTCCTTCAGCCTATTTATGTCATGGAATATTTTTTTTTCACCTTCGACTGTAATAGACATTTTGGCTGGGTATAGTAGTCTGGGTTGGCATCTGTGGTCATTTAAAACTGGAAATGCTTTGGTCCAGGCCCTTCTGGCTTTCAAAGTTCACACTGAAAGTCAGCTTTAATCCTAATGGGTTTTCCTTTATATGTACTTGTTTCTCTTTTGCAGCTTTCAGTATTGTCTCTTTGTTCTGTACGCTTAGTGCTTTTACTATGCTGTGCCATGGAGAGTTTCTTTTCTGGTCCTGTCTTTTTGGTATTCTATATGCTTCTTGTATTTGTATGGAAATGTCTTTCTTTAATTTTGGAAAATTTTCTTCAACAATTCTGTTGAAAATCTGTTCCATGCCATTATCTTGTGATTCTTTTCCTTCCTGTATGCCTATGATTTGTAAGTTTGGTCTTTTTATGGTGTCACACAATTCCTGCATGTTACATTCTTGTGATTTCGGAAATTTTTCATAATCTTTGCTTGAGTGGTCTAGTTCGTCCACTTTATCCTCCAGTCTTGATACTGTTTTCCATTTCGTTCATCCTATTGGTGCGGCTTTCTCCTGTCATTTCTAATTGGCTTAATGAGTGTTTCATTTCCTTCTTCTTTTCAGACTGAGTAGTCTTCAATATTTCTAGCACTTTTCTGAATTCATTCAGAACATTATCCCTATCTTCCTTCAGTTCTTTAGTTTCTTTGTGTGTTCTTTAAATTCACTTAATTCTTTTACCATGTTTGTAATTTTTCTTTTGAGTTCCATGTCCAGCATTATCTCTTGGGGTTCTCATTGTACTCCTCTAGAGGACTATCGGTATTTGGTAGGGATAAGTTATTTTTGATTTTTCATGTTATTTTTTCTCTGTGATTTTGACATGTGAAATTCTTTTGTAGTTTCTGATTCTTGTGTGAGACTAGAGTCTGCACGTTTAAGTCTGCTTCTTTATGCAAACTTTATGTGCCTTTGTGCTTTACTTTTTGGGCATGAAAAGCTGGTTCCTCTAAGCTTCTAGTTCTTTCTTTTGATTTTATATTGGAATGGCCAGATTGCTTTTGTCTTCAGGAGTTCCCACAGAGGCTCAAGTCAGATAAGGACCAGATGCTCTCAGGCTTTCTTCTAAGGTCTGGATCCCTCCAGGAAAGATTTTGGCCTCAGGAATTTGGGGATTGGACTGGCCTGGGAGCCAAGCCCAGGAAAGATGCTGGTCTAAGGCAGCTGGTGGTGGAGACAGTCAGAGATGCAAAGGGAGATGGGGGTGGGAAGAGGCCCCACAGGCTCTTGGGGACTGCACTGAGGAACTGGGTTGGTCTGGATGCAAAGGATCAGGAAGCCAAAAGTTCAGTCCAGGAAAGCAGCTAGTGGGTGGTGCAGCCCAGGGAAACAGAGGGAAATGAGGGTGGGACCAGGCCCAGAGGACTCCTGGGGACCTCGAGAAGGAACTGGGTTGGTCTGGATGCAAAGGATCAAGAAGCAGTGGTGGCCCCAGGTGCAGAGGTCAGCCCTGGGGTCCAGGAAAGAGGCTGGTGGGCATGCAGCCCAGGGAAGCAGATGGAGGTGAGGGCAGGACCAGGTCCAGAAGGCTCCTGGGGACCTCAAGAAGGAACTGGGTTGGTCTGGATGCAAAGGATCAGGGAGCAGTGGTGGTTCCCGGGTGTCTGGGGCACCAAGACAAGGAATGGGACAAGACCCAGGCTAGGAGGAGAGATGGGCAGAGGAGATGGGAGGGTGAATGAGGCTCGGGGCGTCAAGGCGCTGAAGGTGAGATTGGCTTAGCCCAAAGAGTTGCCAGCAGGTCGTGCAGGCCCAGGGAAGCAGAGGGAAGTGAGGGCAGGAGCAGGCCCAGAGGGCTCCCAGAGAGAGGCCGGCATTTACATTTTTTTGCTACAAACATACTGTAACTCTTGAAAATTGTTTACTTTGACATCAGCTGATTATTTTGACATCAGATTACTATTAAACAGATACCCTGTGTTTAAATGTTTGTACGTATCCATGATTTCTTTACAAGTTACTATGTATAACATGTTTAATATTTGAATACTATCTTCTAATTAATATGTTGGGTTTTGTTTCTTTTTTTTTGTCACTTCAGGTTGAGGAGGCCCTGGAAGCTGTCAAAAATGCTACAAATGAGCAAGACCTTGCAAACCGATTTAAAGAGTTTGGAAAAGAGATGGTGAAACTTAATTATGTAGCAGCAAGAAGACAACAGGTGGGAAAGAGTTTGGAAATGCTGGGGAGAAGAATGGGTGAGCTTAAGTAACCTTGTGGTTGTGTTGGCCTGAGCAACAGATCCATCATATCTGCTTGTGGTTAAATTCTCTAAGAACCTATAATCTCAAAGATTGCCTACGTTTGGGTTTGGCCGTTAGTGTACCTAGTACTATCTGCTGCTGCCTATGAATAGTTCATAGAACACTTTCTTTTTTAACTGATGAGAGCACATCTTCCAGTCCCATCACATGCAATCATTTATCCTCTGTGGGAGGAGCACCAGGTCAAATCAAAAGAATTAAACCAGGTTGTGGTGCTGTGGACACTCTCTGGATGCCTCTGTTTCTTCCCAGACTTAATCTCATAGCTCTGTGGATAGAACCAAGAGTATGCTTGCCCAGGATATACCACATGTGGGGGAAAACTTTTATGAAAGGTGAAAAATACATGAACAAAATGAAAGAGAGAGGAAGGGAAGGAAGAAAAGTCACAGGTGAAAGTCAGCTACTTAGATGAAGGTGGATCACATTGGCTCTTTTTCATGTAATGATAAGCCTCTCAATTTTAGCGAACATCATGGGTTACCATTAGACTATTATTCCCAAGAACATATACTTATTCACAAAAAAGTCTCAATATGTGGGAGTATCTATAAAATTGTTTTCACCTGTCCTCTTGGCAGGTGAATACTTTAGTGACTTCACCCACTGGAAAGTTCCATGCAGTAAATGGCAGTTGAGTGCTCCCTCTGTGTCTGACTGACGTGATGCTGGGATTACAAATGTCCTTTATGTAGCAGGCACATAAACAAGATTTACTTTTTGTTATCATCTTTAAATAATTTTATCACCAGTAGTCTTTGTTCAATCTAGTGGTAGCCTATGGGGTAATATGAACCAGATAGAGGTTGCTCTAAAGTATTGGGGAGGGGGGAGTTAGAAATCCTCCTCTTTTTGAAACAACAGAAAAACAGGGCCAGTACATCCATGAACCAAGGGAGAAATTGGAGAGAAATCTATTCATTCTTGTTGTGAAACATTTGAGTCTTATTGTAAGCAGGCAATTCAAAATGTAGTAGCCACATCTAAGCTTTTATTCTAAATATGTTGCTGGATAAAAGATGGGGTAACAGAGGAGGAGCTAGTGGGTGAAGATGGAGTGGCCTTGGTGGGAGGCAGTAAAGGTTTACATTAGTGATCAGCAGTGACAGTGGAGGAAAAGTACAGGGGTAAAATGTATTTTGAATAGCTATGTTTCAGGGGTGTGAAATAAATGATTGACAGAAATCAGTGTGCTTCTAAGCTCTGATGTGAACAAATGAATGCAGGGCAGAAGTTTGACTGATATGAGGAAGACTGGAAAGGAGGCGGTTAGGGTTAGAAATCAATATTTGATATTTAGATAGACTGATTTTGAGATGCTCATGGTATACCCAACATGTAATATCAAACAGAAGGGAGCTATTGCCTGGAATTTGAAGCACAGGTCATCAGCATGGAGCTGGAATTAAAGCCTGGATGACATGGATCTTCCCACAAGAAAACCCATAAATATAAATTATTTGTATTGTCTTAATACCATATTTCAAATTATCTACTAATAAAATTTAGTAAAATCATAGAATATTTAGTACCCACACAAAAATGTGTTACTGACTTTTTGGTATGTTGCCTTTCTCCTCATTTTAACATACTTTTACCTGCAGTACTTCCAATACCATTGACTAATGTTTCAAAGTTTGGAGACTCTTTTCCCATGCATGCTCAGTTTATATTCCTACATGGCTCTAGAGAGCAGCACCACCCTCAACATCTCTAAAACTAATGGAAACATATTCTTAATAGTACTCTTGAAGTCCAAAAGTAGAGAACCCCCCCAACCCTATGATCATTTTACTTTGTGATAAAAAATGAGAAAAACAAATTGTCTTTAGAATATTATTTCTTGCCTTTAAACTTGATGATTGAAGAGGCCGGAGTGATGGCTCTGTTTTTAATAGTGCTTGCTGCATTTCCAGAGGACCTAAGTTTGTTTCCCAGTCAAGCCACTCACAACCCTATGTAACACCAGCACCAGGGAATCTGATGCCCTCTTCTGGCCTTCATGGGCTCCTGAGCTCATGTGCATATATACCCACAAGCACACATATACATAGAAATACATAGAAAATTTTAAATTTAATGACTGAAGATGTAGTTAAGTAAAAACTATTCTTAAAATGATAAGTAGAATTGATACATGAAGCCAAAATCAACTTTGACTTCCCACATTTATAAGTGTAATTAAACATAGAAGCAAGCAGGGTCCTAAGTGACTGGGTTCAGGTTTTCTATCTGCTGAAAACAAACTCTGTGATCCCTATACAACACTACTTTTCTGGTGGTCTCGGTTTTGCGTTCTTTCAGCAATGTGTATTAAATACCTCTTAGCTGAGAGGCACTGTGCTAATGTCTAAAGAGCCACTGATTAAAACAGACAGGTCCCTATGCTGTTGTAAGATACGCTGTAGGAGGGAAACATACTTACATAAGTCACTATAAGTATTGATAATAAGAGGGATATAGGGTTTTATGGGAGAAACCAGGTTAATTGGTTGGGTGGGACATTCTAAAAGAGTATGCTAGGTAAGTGGAACCCTGTCAGGTGCACTGTGGGGTAGACATCAGAGACTTAGACATTCTACATAGAACAGTTTATGAAGCATCCTGGCAGGCAGAAACATAACAGGGGAATGAGGATTGTTTTGAAAATTCAGCATGGTCTATGAGTCTGAGATTCCAAGTTTTCCTGTAAATAATTGCACACAATCTTCATGTATGTTCCATGTTTTGCACAGGAGCTGAAGGACCCTCACTGTAGGGATGAGATGGCAGCTGCTCGTGGAGCCTTGAAGAAGAATGCCACAATGTTGTACACAGCCTCCCAAGCCTTCCTTCGCCACCCAGATGTTGCTGCCACAAGAGCCAACCGAGATTATGTATTCAAGCAAGTCCAAGAGGCCATAGCTGGCATCTCCAATGCTGCTCAAGCTACCTCGCCCACTGATGAAGCCAAAGGTCACACGGGTATCGGCGAGCTGGCTGCAGCCCTGAATGAATTTGACGTAAGCATCTGGGTGATGTCCATCGAATGTGCACTTACCTAAAGAGTTTATATTGGGATTATGGGACATCATGATATCACATATTTATTTTCCTCTCTTAAAAGCTTTTGACAGGAAGATAAAATTCATGATGTATCCCTGTTATTGGGAATCCAAAATATTGGCAGAGTCTTAGTGTATTTATTATTAAAGAATATAACAACTATATTTAAGAGGGACTGATCCCTTCCAGGTAGAAGGGATATCCCACCTCCAGAAGCCATTTGGATGATCACTTTCATTATTTAAGGGACAAATGTTATAGACAGACGTAATTAAATTGAGTCAATGTTGTGTCTGGGTTAAAAAACTGCCCTCAGTAGCTTCAGTTTAAGTTAGTGACAAGCAAGAAAGCTTTGTTACCTGGACCTTTCTTAGGCATTAAGTCTTTCTTTGAGTAGCTCCTTTCAGACATACCAGTGAAAATTCCATGAAAGACCTACCCCCTGCACCTGCTGTGTCTAGTGGCATATCCCAGAGGGGGACACAGTAGAAGTGAGACTCCCTGTGCCTGGACCATTATCTGCACAACTAAGTGAGATGGAAGATGTGGTCATCAACAACCCAGGATGACAGCCCTCACCTCCAGCATCTAGACTTGAATCAGGCCCTCTGTGAAGGCATTTATCCTCTGATCAATGAGATCCTGCATGATGAAGTTGTAAGATACAGTGATTGATAAATATCCAAGCTCTGTTTTTGCGGGTATATTGTCCCAAAAGAGAGATGAGGGAAGTAGAATACAGTGAACAGTATTTAAGGTTTGAAACAGAATTCACAGGAGAAAAAAATAGGTTATTTAGAAGATTCATGGAAAGATGATGGACATACTCTTGAGCAAGTTGATGTGAATCTTCAGCTGGAAATGACCAAACAGCAGCCAGTAAAGAAGATCCAGAGCTCCTTTTTGTCTCTTATTTTATCAGCTCTGTGTGTTTGTGTGTGTGTGTATATGTGTGTGTGTGTGTGTGTGTATGCAGAAATACATGCATGTCGAAGTCTGACCATATAGTGATTTTATAAGACATTTTTAAGAGTTAGATTTAATAATAAATAAAAGGCATTTATCATAGTTACTGCAATCTATCTCATTGCATTCACAAAATTTCAGCTGGTAACTATCAATCTGTGTAAAAATAATGTTTAAAATATATTTATAGAATATTCACATAAATATTCACAAAGGCAATGAAATTGTTAAGTTCATTTTATTACTTATTTTAATTTCTCTATATGTGAGAAATAGATAGATGATAGATAGATAGATAGATAGATGGATAGATAGATAGATAATATAGATATGAAAAAACAAGAAATGAAAAATGGGTTTCTTTACTGAAAGGCTAGTTTTCCTTCTTGGTAAGTAATATATTGATTCAAGATAGAAGAACTATTGAATTCATTTATAGCATTCAGCAATAGCAATAAAACTTCTGGCAGATTTTTGGAACTCAATAAAGTGATGATACAGTTTTTTTCTGGAGTAAAGAATAAACAAAACTGTATTTTAAGGAGGAAAACTATATCATGCATTAAAACATTAAAACATGATATTGATATATTAATTTTAAATGCAAATGAAACATGACCCATTTATCCAAATATCCAAAATCAGAAATAAGCTCAAATGCAAAATTATTTTACAATGTGGCTACTTTAAAACTTAGCTGCTTATGGATTTGTTTAGTCCAGTTTTGATATGATTGTTTTAGTATATCATAATTTCTTTTGTAAAGGAACAGTATGCAGCAAAACCCAGGCAGAGACAGCAGAGAGAACTCCATAATGGACTTGCAGACTCTTTGATTGCTGCCACCTTCTGTCCAAGAGAGAGGTGGCTCCAGTTCTCCTTTCTCTCTGTTCTCCAGACATTTTCAACAGTAGCTTTTACCCTCAATAAATATAAAACATGAAGCATCACTGCATAAATTCTTTAAACTCATAAAATCAAACATTATTTCATGTAGGCAGACTCTCATAGTCAAATGTGTTCATACCCTGAACGTTGCACGTCTTTTGTTTACCACAGTGCTGCTTTCTCATGCTGGGTGAGCAAGGCTTTGGGAAATTAAACATAAATATAACTGACAAAGGTATGCTGACTAATCCCCTAATTTTACTTCTTTAATTCAGTGGGAATGGCATTAACTAATTTTATTTATTACAATGTTAGCTAAGTACATTATGTACTACATGTATTGTGTTCTCAAACATATTTTTAACTAACACTTTATAGTAATTATTATCTGCTTGGAAACAAGTAATGAAAAGTAAGTAACATATTGCCTAATGTTTACGTTTTTTGGTTTTCATAGGTTAACAACAAAAAAATCAACACAGACAGCTATCTGAAAAGCAACCCAGATACAATAGCTGCATTTCGTGTAGCTCCCTAACAACTGCTACATAATGAATCTAACTTAACTTCAGTACTTTCTGAGAAGTACTGATGGTGTTGAAATACTATTAAGACTTTAAACATACACTATAACTAGTAAGTTGTATATTTTCTATCATTTCTAATATAAGAAAAACTTAATATTTTAAATTCTCTCATTAAAAATAATAGACTGCTTCTCTTTATGGAAGAATTATAAACCTGATGCATATTTTGGCCTTCGTTATTTCCCAGGAAAAAAGTTGAAATAGATTTAGAGTTCATAGTCATCTGCCCTAAATCCTAAATGCTGTTTTTAGGTTGTATTAGTCAGGCTTTTATTAATGTAACAAAACACCTAAAGTAATAACCTAAAAAGGAAGGTTGATTTTGGCTCTCACTTTCAGAGATTTTCCTAAGGGCTAATTGAACCTTTGCTTTGGGAGCTTTGGTGACATGACAGGTGTGTATGATGGAACAAGTCATCAGGCATTGAAAAAGAGAGGAGGAGGAGAGGGCAGGGACTCAATAACCTTTCCAGAACATACCCCAGAAGACCTCCTGATAGGATTCATACCTTGAAGGTTCCACCACCAACCAACAGCTGGGGTTCAAACGTTTAACACATGGCCCCTGGAGGGACTCATTCAAATCATAGCATGGATCTTAAACAAATGTCATTCCACTGAGTGAACTATTCAAAACTCTTGTCACTGACTTTGCTGGCAATGCACCTTATTGATAGAATACTTTAATGCTAACCGATATAGTAAGAATTTAAATAGGTAAAATCCCTTTTTGGTGCTGAATTTAAAAGATCTGTATAAAAACAAAACACAATGTCCTAGTCATATGTTTATTATGTCCTGCAATTGAAATTGAAACATACTTCATATTATAATAGCCATGAGTGTCTTTCAACTGTATGGGGGGTCAGATGTAGATGTGGCTTAAAACTAATAGTTAGGTCGGGGGAGCTGGTTCACTTTGTGGAGTGATTACTGTAGGAGCATGAGGATATGAGTTCAATCCCCAGCAACCCCCCCCCAAAAAAACCCAACAAAACAAGAATGTCAATGTGGAGCCCCTATAGTTTTAGCACTTGGGGGGGGGTGTGTGGTAGCTGAGACAAGAAGATTCTTCCTGTGGTTTGCTAGCCAGCCAGTCTAGCTGAATTGCTGAGCTCCATGTTCAGGGCAACACCCAGTCTCAAAAAGTAATATGGAGAGTGACTAAACTAAGGAAACATCTCACATTGTCCTCTGGCTTCAACACACACACACACACACACACACACACACACACACACACACAGATCTTATAGTTAACCAGACTAAGATAAAATTAATATTTTTACATTTGTATGTCTGCAACAATAGAATTGATTTGTAATGGATAGATATAAGTACAGCTCAGTGCTTGGCGGCTCGTCTTCTGGCACTATTAGCCCACCTATATGAAAAGACAGTGACTCATGGAGAAAAGAATGGGTCAAGCAAAAAAGGTATTTTAACAACTAGAAACTGTCAGGAGAGGCCTTAATCATACAGCTGCAAAAGTCAAATGATTGCTTTTCAGGCTTTTTTTCTACATTGGTCTTTAATTTGTTATGTAACACAGGCTGACCTTGAACTCATACTTCTCTTGCCTCATCCTCCTTAGTGTTAAGGTAGGTAGGTAGATAGATAGATAGACAGACAGACAGACAGACAGACAGATAGACAGATAGATAGATAGATAGATGATAGATGATAGATTAGATAGATAAATAGATGATAGATGATAGATTAGATAGATTATAGATAGATGATAGATAGACAGATAGATGATAGATAGATCGATAGATGACAGATGATAGATGATAGATAGATAGATAGATAGATGATAGATAGATAGATGATAGATAGATGATGATAGATGATAGATAGAAGATAGATAGATAGATAGATAGATAGATAGATAGATAGATAGATAGATAGATAGATTGATATATATGTATATATCCACCACAAATGCATCATCTTCATGTACGAAATTGTCAAAGAACCAACTGAATTAATTTTTAAAATACAGGGCTAGAGAAATGGCTCAACAGTTAAGAGCACTTGTTCTCTCAGAGGACTTGAATTTAGTTTCCAGGAACCATGTTGAATGGGTCACAACTACTTGTGACTTCAGCTCCAGGGATGTCTGACGCTCTCTCTTTGCCTCCATAAGCATCCACACATATGTGCATGTGTACACACAAATACATAAAAATTAAAAAATCAATCAATAGCTTTAAATATCTATTATTTTAAATCAAACCATGAGCAGTATCTTGAGGTCCACTCCTGTTTCACTTTCTAATTTCGACTTTGTTTTCAACTTTTCCATCTACCCTTGTGGACTTGCTTGGTCGATGATTCCCTTATTGTTTTTTATTATTATTTTTATTTTATGTGTATGACTGTATTCCCAGCATTCATGTCCTGAAGTGCCTGCAGAGGACAGAAGAAGCTGTCATATCCCCTGGAACTGGAGTTAAGGATGGAGTTATAGATGGGGTTAGAAGAAATCAGGCTAAGTGGGTGGGCAGGAAGCA